TGAGTAAGAGTCGTAAGCAAATAATCAGAAAGGCCAATCAAAATGTTAAAAGTATACAGCTGGCCTGAAGACACCAATGAGAGCTTAAAAGCACATAAGGTGCGGTAAAAAGCCTCAATTTTTTGCGACTGAGCCGGGATTTGCTAAATCAAAACCAACCCAATGTCAGATTACTCTTGACTTTTAGTTCAAGGTTACACTACCTGCGGTTATCTTTCAGATTCTGTCAGCTATACTTCACGGTATCCTCTTGGTGTTGTTGGAATAATCACCTCGTGGGCATCTCCTCTGCATTCGATTTTACGGCACGCGATCCCAGCGCTAGCCAGTGGCAATTGCGTGGTTATAAAACCTTCCTCTTTGGCTCCAGTTGAAGTCCACTTGTTGGCCAAAACATTCAGTGATGCGGGTAATTGAGACATGTGAAATATCATCAATTGGTAAATTACAGTTATGAGTAAAGTTGTTTTTCGTTTCGTCATGAGCGTTTGAGAAAAAAATTAGAAGCGCTCTCTACAAGGAATCGAGTCCCAGACCCTTATGATGGACACTGGTGGAAAGGATATGCATGAACATAGTATAGGAAAAGGGGTAACTTTGCTCTATAGTGTTCAGTAATGAGGTTTGAATATTAGAGATTTGTCAGAGGACGGCTGAAGAACTAAATGTATTCGAAGTTAATAGATGCATTGGAGCACTGATTATGCTATTTATTACATGGTGGCAAACAACTCGATATATTTATCATTTCAATCATTTATTTATCTGTTTATTGATTTGTTCACCTGGTAGTTTTTTTGTGTACGTGGAACATTGTGTATTGGTGTGTTAACGCCTTTTAGAAAGTTGCAATTTCTACTCGATTTCTCTATTTCAGGGATTCCAAAAGGTGTCGTGAATGTAGTTTACGGTAAAGGGGACGTTCTCGGGAGAGCTATGGCTGCGCATCCAACTGTAAAAGCTTTGGCACTGGTGAGATATCAATCGTTGAAAGTTGATGATAATTTCATCTAAATAGAAATATCTGTGGGCTCTTCCTAATATCTACTACAAATCGTTTCATCGAACCTTCAGATGCATAGCATGTAGTCGTGTGTGCCGATATCTAAGATTTAAAGACCTCTATCTAATTCGAGAGAAGCGGAGAACCCAGTGTTTTGTCTGTTGGATTATACGATGCGCGTGAGGGTTAACCTTTTGAGTAAAAGAAAGGCGTTGGACTTAATCAAGCCTTCACTTTACCAACATGAAACGAAAGAGAATACTCCACAAATTTCGTCTAGGATGGTCCATGTTCTTTATAGCAATAACAATTTTCTTGAGCAAGAAATGTTGACTCTTTCCGGTTCCTCTTTTCGTCGTTCAAAGTGTTTATTTTGGTTATTTCCAACAAGCTGTTTAGAAAACCTGAAAAATATACTGGAGGTTTACATTTCTTCAGTCGTATATTATTCAGTCCTCTGATGGTTGAAGTAGTGATTGACCTTGGGAAGGAAATCACATTTATTGTATATTCATCGACGTGCATAAAGCAGAATAACTGTTAATTGTTCCATCTCTTTAGGCAGGAAGTGAGAGGACTGCATCTGCCATACTTGCCGTGGGTCAGCTTCTTTATACAAAAAAGTTTACCTTTCATTTGGGAAACTGTCATCCGATGATCGTCTTCGAAGATGCAAATTTAGAGGAAGTTCTCCCGGTTGCAATCAGAGGAAGGTAATAAAAAATAGCATTACGTAGAGAATATAATTTCATTTATATATATTTTCAATTGCACTCCCACATAATCCGGCCTGACTTGTTTTCGCTGTTTGTGAGCCAGTCGTAGGCGTTGAATTTATTATGATCACGCAGCGTCATGAATCTCGCACAATTTGTGTTCTAAATCATTTTGGAGTGCTGCATCACAATTCTTAAGTTCTAATTACCCTGATAGATGATATCCAAGTTCAAATACGCTCAAATAGCAAAAGAAATAGTGTAAGTGGATTTTGAGGTTCAATCAAAACCTGACTGAAATTAGCAGCAGCTTAAATGTCTATTGTTTTTGTTCCCAGTTTTCTTCGCAACGAGGGTCAAAACGTCCATTCTATCAATCGCATTTACGTCCACGCATCCATCCTACAAACATTTACTGAAAAATTCATCAGAGTGGTACAAAGGTTGAAGATTGGCAGTGCGCATGAGACAGGAATACAGGTAAAAAAGCTCCTTTATTACACGACTCGGGCAGTCAGAGGGCCAATAACTAAAATCAACCAATCAAAATGCTCTATTGCCGGTCAATATTCTCTCAGTATTGGACCGGGCACTGTCCCGAATGGTCCGGAATGATACCGCACTTGTGTCTCTTTGAACTTCAGTCGTATAATAAATCTCTTATTGACCAAGCTTGCTCGGGACCGTACTGGAAGAATATCGGCCCTCGGTCTTTTTTGTACGGACCGAGCTGCGCTCGGTCTGTACTGTCAAGACCTCGGGCCGATATTCTCCCAGTACG